TTTTCTTTGTAAGTATAATGTTGGTTGTTGTAGATTGCTTTTATACTTCCTTTGTACATATAATATTAGTTTGTTGTAGATGACTTTTATCAGCTTGAGGTAAAGACCATCTATTCAGTTTTATGTAGGGCTTTTATCATGAGTAAGTGTTGGACTTTGTCAAAACATTTTTATGCATCTATTGAGATGATCATGTGATTTTTGTCTTTGGATCTCTTGGTGTAGTGCATTACACTTATGATTTTGTGCATATTAAACCATCTCTGCTTTCCTGGGATGAATCCCACTTGCCTGTGATGTATAATCTTCTTGATGATTTGCTGCATTCTGTTTACTAGTATTTTATTGAGGATATTTGCATCTACATTCATTGGGGAGATTGGCCTGTAGTTCTCTTTTTTGGTTGGACCCTTCTCTGGTTTTGGTATCAGAGTAATATGTGCCTCCCTGTGTGAGTTTGGGGGAATTGCCTCCCTTTCAATTTCACTGAAGAGTTTAAAAAGAGTTGGCATTGGGTTCTCCCTACATTTCTTGTAGAATTCGGTTGTGAATCCATCAGGACCTGGGATTTTCTTTGTTGGCAGGTTTTTATTACATTTTCAATTTCATTGACTGATATTGGGTTATTCCGAATTTTTATATTTTCTTGATTCAGCTTTGGTAGTTCATATGTATCCAGGAATATGTCCATTTCTTCTGTATTTTCCATTCTGTGAAAGTTAAAAATTTTTAAATAAGTACTGATAATCTTCTGAAATTCTATAGGGTATGCAGGGATTTCATCATTTTCATTCTTCATTCGCAATACATATTTTCAATGGTAAATCATAATGTCACATTTTTTTCTGTTAATAGTGATAAATATTGCATGAATACTTTTTGCATGTTGACTCAGAAGTATGAGAAAACTTGAATGGGAAAAGGGTGTAAGTGAAGATCTTTTAGACAGTGCTATATAGTCCTAAGAAAGTAATAACATTATTTATTTGCTCAAAGATATACTATTTCTCTTACTGCTTAATCAAATGAGAAATTTTGAAGGGTCTCAGATGTTTTTTCCTGTGTCATTGCAAATATAGAAAGAGGAAAGACCAAATGATGTACCTCTGATCTGGGGAGGGGGAAAGTTTATCATAAGCCTTTGACTCTATGAAAATGAATAGGTCAATTATAGCATTCTTATCAGGAAACTGATGATCACCCGTGGTCTACAGGGACCATTATTAAAGCCTAAATATCTTTCAGGATTTCTACATAGAAATATCTTTTCCAAGTATATAGGTGAATTTGACATATATGGAACAAATTAACGACATCTTCACCCTGAGTAAAAAACATATGATATTCATTTTCTTCCAGACATTGGAGAAATGAGGTTGGAAATGTGTGGTATGAGATCAATTTTATAAGAATTAGTGAGGAAAACAAACATTGAATGTTTATTTCTATGGTATAGAGTTTTGCATGAATAGAATGCTGACACCATAGTACTTGGCCAAGAGACCAAGATTTATAGACATTTATATATTTATACTCCATTCCCCAGGTCCAGTGGTGATGATGAGATACAAGTTCACTCATGTTTATTGAGTGAAAATATTAGACATTTTTATGTTTTTGAAGTAGCATGGGACTTAAAATAGCAAGAGATTTTGTTACCATACTTAACCTCCGACTTGATTGATTATGGAATTTGGACCACACCTAGGGTTTCAATAAATTGGTAATAATTGCCTTTTGGTTTTATTTTTATTCCTCCAAGGGAAAACTCTCTTATGACTGCTTCAGTGAGTGTTTTTCCCCCCAAGAGAGTTGAATGCAATGAAGCAATTGTATCTGTTTGTCTCTGATTTGGACCTTGTGTTTGGGGATTTCCTCCCAAAGTCCTCTTCCTGACTTGTAAAATTAGATCTCACACAAATTCGTCAGGAGTTCTGATAAATATGTATCCATATATCTATCTTGTCTAATTCTGAACTGGGATTCTTCTGCCCTGTGCAGTAGAACTTTGAGATCTTTAGAGGTTTCATCTGCTTCTCTGTAACTTGTGTCTTCTGGAGAGAAAGGGAAGAGCCTTCCCATGCTTTGTAGCTGAAAGTACTGTGCTGATCATCTAAGGGTCCATATCAGAGCAGGAGTAGTATTTATGTAGTAAGTCATACTAGGTATGTTTGTATGTGTTTGTGTTTTCATGTTGCATGTCCAATATTTGCTACTTATCCCTAGGTTCTGCCTATCCTCTCACCACAGTATGGCCAACAACTACATCAAACTAATTTATTTAGAATTGAATGCATTTTGAGATGATAGGACAAAAGAAATTTTTCATGTAAAATAATTTCTATAAAGTCAGTTGCATAGATAACTTCTGAAAGAAAATGTACCTTCCTTTGCTTATCTTTAATTTGCCTTAGCTCTTATTTTTTTCTACAATATATCACAAACTTTTATTTTCTTTATGTCTACCATATTTAGTAAAAGGTGAAAGATTTATACAATCTGAAGAGAAACCAGAGTATAACATTTAGGTGTAATAGTCTACTATCTCATATTATTACTGAAATAAATTTCTATTCAGATTCTTGCTGATACTTTTACTTCATTATGTTCTGTCTACCTAGTAGACAACAAATCCTTTGAAATTTTACTCACTTCTCTATTTAAAAATTTCTTTCTTTCTTTCTTTCTTTCTTTCTTTCTCTCTCTCTCTCTCTCTCTTTCTTTCTTTTTTTCTTTCTTTCT